AATGTCAAAAAAATCAAAGAAATTATTCAAACATATAGAAATTAAACAATACAGTCTTGAATAATTAATAAATCACAGAGGAAATCAAGAAAGACACCGTACAGTTCCTAGAATCAAATGACAATGCAGGTATAACATACCAGAACTTATGGGACACAAAGGAAGCAGTTCTAAAAGGGAAGCTTTTAGCTGTGACTAACAATGTCAGAAATATAATGTAAGCCTAAATAAATAACTTCATGATACATCTCAAGGTCCTAAAAGAACAAGGACAATCCAAACCCAAAGCTAGGACAAGGAAAGAAATTATAAAGGTCAGAGTAGAAATTAATGAAATTGACACTAAAATACACAAAGAATCAATGAACTAAAGAGCTGGTTCTTTGAAACAACAAACAAAATAGACAAAAGCCTCCAATAATCTTATTGTAAAAAAGAAAAAAAGACTTAAATCAGTGTAATTAGAAGTGAAAAATGTAGGGGCTGGGGAGATAGCTTGGTGGTCTAAGTGCCTGCCTGGTAAATGCAAGGACCCGAGTTTGATCCCTCGTACTGCATGCCTTGCCAGTCCTGGAACCCTAGGACACTGTGCTGGCCCAGAAACCGGGTATGGTGGTACTCGCCTGTAATCTCAGCACTGAGGAGGCTGAGACAGGAGGATTACTATGAGTCTGAGCTGCATAGCAAGTTTAAACAAATGAAATAAATGTATCAAATGAATAAATATTTTTGAAAGGGAAGTAAAAGTATGCAATCAGAACTTACATCACCAAAATCTAGAAGATTATTATTAACTACTTTGAAAATCTATACTCCAGTGAATGGAAGAATCTATAAGAAATAGGTTCAGATATAAAAACCTTGAATAATCCAATAAAAGGCAATAAAACTGAAGCAGTACTAAAAGACTTACCAAGAAAAGCCCAGGCCCACATAGACTCATTGCTAAATTCTATTAGCATTTCAGGGAAGATCTAACACCAGTACTCCTCAAACTCTTAATGAAACTGAAAGGGAAGGAGTACTCTCAGAATCATCCCTGGAGGGACAGCGAGATAGCTCAGCGGACTAAGCACATATTTAGGCAAGCACAAGTGCAGGGACCAAGGCTCGATTCCTGGCCCCACATGCCCACCAGCCCTGCACCCAGGAGCACTGAGCTGGCCACCCAGTCCGGCCATGGTGGCACATGCCTGTAATTCCAGCCTGGGGAGGCAGAAAATGGAAGAATCACTACAAGTCTGAGCTGCATAGTGAGGCCCTATACCAAATATATAAAATCAGGGTAAGACTAGTTTCCAGGGATGATTTTTTTTAAAGTATTTGGTATAGCACTGACTACTGTACCAATTAATATACTAATAGAATTTCTCTCGGAACTAGAGAAAACAGTACTAAAATTCATATGGAACAGGAAGAGACCCAGTATAGCAAAAGCAAGTTTAGGCAATAAGAACAAAGAAGGAGGCATTACAATTTCAGATTTCAAGTTATACTACCAAGGTATAGTGATAAAAACCAGCATGGTATTGGCATAAAAACAGACATGTAGATCAGTGGAAGAGAACAAAAACTTTTAATCTGCTGGAACATAAAGTAGGTAAAATTCTTGAAGTCATAGGCATAAGCAAGGATGTTCGGAACAGAAACCCAATCGCACCAGAAATAATATCAAGAATCAACAAGTGGCATTAACATAAAATTAAAAAGCTTCTGCACAGCAGAGCAACAACCAACAGAGTGAAGAGACAATCTACAGAATGGGAAAAAAAATGTTGCCAGCTATTTGTCAAAGGAGTAATATCTAGGATACAGAAAGAATTAAAAAAAATCAACCCCCCCCAAATTAAAGACCTAATCAGAAAACGGGCAACTGAAATCAGCAGACATTTCACAGAAGTACAAACATCCAATAAATACATGAAAAATATTCAACATCTGACCATTAGAGAAATATAAATTAAAACAACAGAGATTCCATCTTCCTCCAGAAAGAATGGCTATCATCAAGAAATCAGATAACTTGTAGTTAGAATATAGATAATAGCATATAGAGTTAGTCAACATCAAGATTTTAAACATTAATAGCTACTTCCAAAAAACTGATAGAGGGGCTGGTGAGATGGCTCAGTGGTCTAAAGCACCTACTTGGAACAAGCTAAGCTAAGCAACGCGGTTCAATCCCCCAGCACCTCATGCCAGCCAGCCCCGCCCCCTGGTGGGCTGAGCTGGCCACACACACACACACACACACACACACACACACACACAAATAAAATTTAAAAGAAAATTAAAAAATAAAAAACCCCCAAAAAACTGATAGAAATAAGTATTACAATCATCTCAGCTATCCTGAATATATACTTGTATGATTTTCTCCCTTAAAACCACAGTTGAATACCTCTCATCTTGTTCTTCTAAATGTGTAACATTTCTAATGTCTTATCAACTAGTATTCTCTCTTTATAATAAATTAAAAAATATAAAGTAAAAAAAGACAAGGAAAAAATTAAAGTTTATTGAAAGTAAGCATTAATGTTTAATTATTTGACCAAGTTTACATACTTATATCTGTTAATCTGAACAACAGATTTGACAATGAAAATATGTAATATAACTACCATTTAAAAATTTTTATTATTGTTTTGAAACTCTGTCTCATGTGCACTGTTGTTTCTTACTCTGTGTTTGTCTTTGTTTCTATTTATTTATTTATTTATTTATTTATTTATTTATTTTGGAAGAACCAGGGATTGAACTCAGGCCCTTATGCTTGCCAGGGAAGTGCTTATTCCACTGAGCCATCTCCTCGGCCCCTGTCTTTGTTTCTGTTATTTGTTTTTACTCTTTAAAATAAAATTAAAGAAATCAAATAACTACTTTTGGTGAGACTACAGGGAATGAGAACCCTTCTACATTATTTGTGGGGATGTACACTACTAGGATGCCTATGGTGATCTGTATGGCGATTGCTCAGAAATTCAATATAGCTATTAAGAATTAAAGAGATTGTAGTGATGGATATATGTATATTTATGTTTACAGCAGCACACCCCATAATAGCTACATCTTAGAAGCAGCCTATAGGACAAATATGAGTTGTTTGTAAATAAATGGTTGCACCCTGAGACCATAATGTTAACTGAAATAAATCAAACACACGGCTTACATGTCCCATGGCTTCTTTTATGAGTAGCTCAAAATAGAAAAAAAAAAAATTAAAGAGCAAAATAAAAGATAGCTAATAGGAAACAGAGAGAAAGATGTTTCACAAAATGGAAGGGGACCAAGAGATGGAGCAACAGAGGAGGGAGAGGAGGCGAAGGAACTAAAAAACAGAATTATGATGCATTACATACGTTCACCAACTCCCTATGAGGAATGTAATCACTGTGTACTATATACATGTGCCAATAAAAATAAAAATTAAAAAAAATCACGAAGACGCTTGTGCTCTTTGAATAACTGCATGGTGACTTGGCTAGCCAAATCGCATGAGCTAAGAGGAATCATTAAAGCATAAAGTTTTTATTTGTTAGTTTTTTCCAGACAGGATCTTGCTGTGTAGCTCAGGCCAACCTTGAAATCACTATGTAGCTCAGGCCGGCCTCGAACTTACAGCAATCCTCCAGAGTGCTGGGATTATAGGTTTGCGCCACTACGCCTGGCATTTTTATTGTTTAATAGTTCCACTTTGTTTATACAACTGACAGTGATGATGGCCAGTGCAGGCAGAGTCCTTTGGGAAGTCCCTGCTTTCTACCAGACTTGGAGAGAAATATGAGCCAAGCTCATTCTCCACAGCTTACCTTTGTAATGTTGACTGGCAGACTTCTAGTTAGGCTTACTTTTTCTCTTGCCATTGTCAGCAATGCACTTGTACCTGATTAATCTCAATTTTATCAATATGAGTTTAATCTCCCATTCTGTAGGACTTTTAACCTCAGTGATCTCCACGCTAAATTGTCTGCCTACATCAGTAATTTAATCCTTAACCATAGGGTAAAAGAGCATATTTCTAGACTGGGGTAGGGCTCAGTGGTACTTAGCATACATAGGCCCCAGCGTAACACATGCAATACATACACACACATACAACATTTTATTTTTGGTACTGGGGATCAAACTCAGGACCTTAGGCTTGCCAGGGAGGCACTTATGCTGCTGAACTATCTCCCTGGATGTACATACACTTCTGATTCCATTTTAACACAGTGGATAGAATTCAAGAATGCATGATAGGGCCAGCCAAATAGCCCAGTGGATTAAAACACCTGCAAGCAGGTGCAGGGGCCCAGGGTTCGATTCTTGGGCCTGCAGTGCTAGCCCTACCCCCACGGCACCCTGAGACAGGGATTGAGACTGGGCGTGGTGGCATGCGCCTGTAATCCCACCTCTTGGGAGGCTGTAAACAGGAGAATCACTATGAGTCCGATTTAGTAGTGAGACCCTGAACACCCTGTATACCCTTCCCTAAAATACAGAAAAAAAAGATAGAAAAGAATGCATGATAAAGAATTATAGTCACTGCACTATACTTATACAAGTAGAGGCATATTTGGTTTCCATAAAGAAAAACTAAAATGTTCCCTACAAGGCTAATGAAATCACACACTTGCAGGTTTCTTTAGCTAAGAAAAAGTGGACAAAGGAATCTTCATTACAACTTAAAAACTTTTCTTTTGGGATGGCCTTAATTGTACCAGGTCTTGGGTAAGATCAAACCTGGAGAACAGCTCTGGTTCAACCCCAGGACTCTTCCTAATAACATATTGAACAGTGTCTAAAGACTATGTGAACATATAATGGTTTTCTTTTTTTTGGAACCAAGGATTGAACTCAGGCCCTTGCGCTTGCCAGGGAAGTGCTTAGTCCACTGAGCCATCTCCCCGGCCCTAATGGTTTTCTTTTTCAAGTGGCTCCTCAATAATGAATTCTGTGAGACTGGGGACCACATTACCCTAATCCACCTGTTCCTGACTCAGCATTAACTGCCATACCTTTCACAGATGTGGTAGTACCTCTCATCCTGTATGCCATCCTGAATGGGCACATTTACACTATAGTACCGTCCTTTCCCTAGGCCAATGTCAGACACATCACCTGTTCCTGCAAGAGAGAGGAATACCGTGATCAGTTTTTAAGAACATGAGAACTAGAAAACTTTTTTTTTTATGTTTGAAGATGCCCAGGACATCATTGCACTATACCAATGTCAGCTTGATGAGGTATCACCTGAAAAGCTTCCTGTTTAAAAAAAAAAACAAAACAAAAAACCAACTCTGGAAACTTGGCCCTATAACTCAGACCCACCAGGGAAGATGGGATGTTCCCTGGGGTATTCTTTGGCCTGTGCTTCAGGCTAATGGCCTGGGCCTGGACCTGTCACTCCCTCTACATAGGGCCAGCAAATTGCCCAGTAGCATCTGGTTTATCCTCTGGTATCCAAGGCCATCTCAAGGTAGGCTCACGCAGTGAGTCACCAGGACAGAGGCAGTAGTAGCCACCGGCCTTCCAGGGGGCTCGCTTCACTCTCCAAGGTCATAAAGGGCTTCTTGCATAGCTCTCCAGGAAGTGCTGGCTGCTGGGCTCTGGGGCCCCCAGGGTCCTGGTCAGGGGTCTCCCATTTGCGCTTGTGCGAGGGAGGAGGGACTCTCCTCACCCAACCGACCCTCAGGGGGCCCTGGTGCCTCAGACAGACGATGGCTGCAGACTGCTCTGCCAGAGAACTAGAAAACTTAAATGATTTTCTGATAGAAATTCAGAAGGACCAAACGGTTAATCAGCAGAACATTTACTTTCTTTTTTTTTTCAGACTGTATGTCCCTCTGTACTCAAGGCTTGCCTTGAAATTTTGATCCTCCTACCTCAGCATCTTAAGGAATGGGATTACAAGTGTATACCACTGAGTCTAGCTTTAGCAGAGGGCTTTCTAAGGGAATGAAATTTTTAAGAAATAATATGATGAAATAACAATTACAAACAATGCTTAGGGAAGCAAGAAAATCACACAGCAACTAAAAAAATGTCTAGTTTATATCCTATTAGATGAAATAAAACTTGACCTTTCATGATTTTTAGGTTGAAATATTATCAAAATATTGCAATGATCAGGATATTAAGAATCATATGTGGGGGCCTGGCCCTAGCTCAGGCCTTTAAGTGGCTGCTTCCACAAAGCTGTCAGCCTCAGGTTGCTGGAGTTCGAACCTCACAACTATCCCGCTGGCCAAAAGTGCCCTGAAGGCGTTCGAGGAACAAAAAAAAAAAAAAAAAAGAATCATATGTGATATCTGATAGGATGTCAGTTTAAGTGATGTGTCTCTTGGTAGTCCATAAAAGTCTTTTGGAAGAATGCCAAGTGTGCTGGTGCACGCCTGATAATCCCAGCACTTGGGAAGCTGAGGTAGGAGGATTCCCATGAGTTTCAGGTCAGCCTGGGTTTAAATGAGTAAAGGCCAGCCTGAACTGTATAGTGAGACCCTATCTCAAAAAAAAATCATCTGGGCTGGGGAGATAGCTCGGTGGTTGAAGCACCTGCCTAGCAAGCGCAAGGATCCTGGTTCCATCCTGGGTACTGCATGCCATGCCGGCCCCAGGAAACCCAGGTGTGCCCTGCAGCCACCAAAACCGGGCATGGTGGTGCAGGCCGGTAATCCCAGCGCTGGGGAGGCTGAGACCGGAGGATCACTACGAGTCCGAGCTGTGTAGTGGGACCCTGTACCAAATAAGTAAATAAATAAAAGATTAAAAATATGATTCCAAAAAATCATCTGGAAGAAAAAACAGTGTTATTGTCACTTGTGCTCAAATTTTGTGTAGAATAACGCCAATAAGATATTAACAGCACAGAACTATTCAAATATCAAACATAAGAAATGTAGAGAAGAACCATCAAATGTATAGGGAGCCTGCAGCTCACTTGCCTGGGAAAAATCCTGGGGAGAATTTGTGCAGAGACACAGTCATGACTTTGGAGGTGAAACTGAAGGCATCTTGTACACCTACCAAAGAAACAAAGGTCAGAAGTAGTATTACTTTATGTATGGAACTCCTGTTTTCAACACCTGAAAATCTAGAAAGTAACTACAGGAAGAGGGTGGATGAGAATGTAGCAATAATGAAGTGAACAGTTGAGGAATAAAAGTAACATAAACTCCCGGTCTCTGATCTCTGTAATTATGGATGAGGTAGAAGTTTGGTTCCAAGTGAAGTTTGGGATCACTTTTCAAATTCATTGCAAACTATAATTGGATTTCTTCTCTTGAAGCAGTCTCTCTCTCTCTCTCTCTCTCTCTCTCTCTCTCTCTCTCTCTCTCTCTCTCTCTCTCTCTGTATTATCAACCATGCTGAGCAATGCCAACTGGGAAGCTTTATGCTTTGTTCTATTTTGTTTCTAAAGGAGTATTGTGATTATCCTTTAAAAAGATGACCAATACAAACATTAGGCATTGTTAATGAAAATTTAATTATAAAGTACCTCTCTATAATGCTGACTTGGTTATAAATGTACATCATGAAGAGGCCTGTGTCAGTGTATCTTTCTGGCTAAAATCTAGATTGCTGAAAATAGTTATGGCTTTGTCTCTTAATAACAGCTTTATAAGAGTTTTAAAACCTAGAGAAAGATGGGATAAAAGGCCATATATAGAAAAGAGTCTCCTTTCTGTTTAAACAGTCAGAAAATGATAGGTGCCTAGAAGATAAAAGCTAGGAGTTAAAGTAATCCTTAAAAACTATTGTTATCCAACAACCATATTACCCACTTCTGGCCCTTTTCTCCCAGAATCATACAGTCATATAATGGTTCAAATAATCAGACTATAAAAGGGAAGGGCTCTTAGAAAATTCAAGTCCTTTGTGGAGATGGTAAAGGGCTCTGGGGACAGAGAGGAATGGTAGAGAGAGTAGAGGTAAGGAAAGTAAAAAGAATAAAGAGGGAAAATGCATATGTACCAATACCTCATAATGAATATATTCATTGTGCATGGCAAACATATACCAAATTTGAAAGTTAAAAAAATTCAGGTACTATTCTCTTTTATATTTCAAACAAAGACATTGTCTCTGTGTTTACTTAGTATATTCCATCTTCATTAGAGGCCAATAGGGACCTTAAAACAATATTAACTCTGTTTGTATATAACAGGTATGTTTGTATTTCCCAAGACATAAGCCTTATGTTTGCCCTAAGGAGGTAGTGAAAACCAGTTAAAGGCTCCAGGCTAACAGTATAAAGTAAACAGAATGAAACAAACAAAATAAATAAAATAGCATTTCACTCTAGAAACAGAAACAAAGATACTTCATGTAAACTCTGATTATTTATTCTCTAGAATTGTATCAATTTACATTTCACTCAATTGTGTATTCAAGTTCTCATCCTTCCCAGATTGACTAGCACTTGCCATTATTATTCTTTCTTAATCTTAGACAGAAAGATTTGTCTTGTTCTAATTTGAATTTCTCTGAATATTAGGCTATGGAGCATCTTTCCATGTTTACTGGCCATTTATATTTCTTACAGGAAATACTATTACACATAGCTATAAAAGCATAGTTTAACAGGGATGCTGTGGGATAGGTGGAAGGTGTGGAGTTGGTGTGAAACAGGACAGTGGTCAGGTAGGTGAAACATAAGCATTGGGTAGGAATGGCTACAAGATGCTAGTTATGGAATCATGAGAGTTTTAAAATAAACCAAATGTATAAGAGTTTGGGGGTGGTGAAAGAGTCGCTGGAAGGGAGGTGCTGAAGTGGGGAAATAAACTAAAATGAAACACACCATAAAAGTTGGCTAAAACAGGAAACTCTAAATGGTGTAGAAATACCATTGCAAATGGAAGGAATGGTTTCAGGTGACAGTCTTATTTCATTCCTATATGGTTCAATAGAGTCAGTTCTACCCTTGAACTCTTGTATTAATACTTTGAATTTCATATTCATTCATTCCACAAATATTTTACTGAACCACTATTATATACAGAGTACTACTGGTTCAGGGCATTATACAAGACAGGAAGGAGTACATGACTTGATCTCTGCTCTGGAGGAACTTAAAATTTCTGTGAGAAAATACAAGCACATTAAAAGTCACTGAACAATACAGTATAAGACAATAAATAATGAAATAGGAAGTCAATAATAGAAACAGTACAGGTCTTGAAGGTAGGAAAAACACCCTTGCTTTCAGGTGGTAGGGGAAATTTGCTACTGTTAGAACTTGAGTGAATGGGGAGAACTGGAGATACAAAAGGGAAGAAATCAAAACTAAGGAAAAGGGAGGCAAAGCTGGGGAGGTAGGACGAATAAGACAAGTCATGAACAGTGAGACATGCTCATCCAGTAAAGTAGTCTGGACAAGAAGGAGGAAGAAGAAAAATGTGGAAAGATGAGCTGAGGTCTAGTTGAGACAAACCTGAAAAGGCAGGATAGATGATGCACTTAACTTAAAGGCCACTATTTATCAAGGTATGGCCTGCAGAACAACTGAGGTGTTGTTGAAATGTATTCTTTGGTTATATACATGGATGTAGCTTGGCAAACTGCGCCTTAAAACAAATTTCCCAATATCATCCTGATACACTATTAAGTTTGAGAATCCCTGCTCTAGGCCAGGGGTAAGCAAACTAAGTAGCTACATAATACAGATTATAAGCTTTCCAAAGTTCTTATAATCTCTATTGTGCATTCCCATTCTTGCAATGCACATATATATGTACATGCATGATTTTACAACCTATACATATTTTTATAACCCTTTAAAAATGGAAAAGCCATTCTTATCTCACTGGCCATACAGAAATAAGCCGTGGGTCAAGTACCTGTAGCATCTGACTCTTTCTTATAGACAATAATGAGCCTCTGAAAGTTTCTGAATAAGACTGTGTTTTCCCTGGCCAAGCACTCAGAAATTTAGTGAACATGGTTCTCAAAGTAGTATGTTTTTCTCTCATTTCTGTTATTTTAAATTTTCTATCTACAGTCCATATTTATAGCAACTATGCAGGTAAAGCTCCCTGGTGAGGCTTCCTCCAATGTTGTTATGTTTTTTCTCTTTTGGGGGCAGAGCTAACTCTATCTTCTGACTCATATACCTTGATTACCCTAATCTGTAAAACAAACAAACACTCTGAACTGGGGAAGCAGTAATCACTAATATGGAGAATGTGAAGTTATACTTAACTAATAACTTACTGGATAAGTATCACTAGGTGAACAGAAATGTTGTGTCATAGACAGGATTTCCTAAAGAACTATTCCTGAAGATGTACTTTCTAGGTAAAAACACATATGGGGCCAGATAAGTTCTTTCAGTGGGATCTTCTAAAAGGGATTCCATGGGTTAAGGCATATTGTTTAGCGATTTTGCTATTAAAGATTAGGGAAGATGCCCTGGGTTTGTGTAGGACTAATTTACCAAAACAAAGAAGTAGCAATGATTTGGACAGAACATGAATTGGTAGTTTAGTGGTGACCAATTTAGAATGTTTGTCCTTTACGCAGTCACTCCATCTTGAGAGGCACCAATAAAGAGGTGAAGACTGTTGGATCTAACCAAACATTTCCAGTAGAGCCTATGGAAATGGCCTGAGGGAGGTCACTGTGAAGACAGTAAACATTAGGTAAGAGTTCTGTGGCTTCTCCTTCTTTACTATAAAGCTTTGCTTCAGGAGGAGAGGGTACAGAAAATGACAGAAGGCTGGCTTGGGAAGCAAAGCAAGATTGTATCAGAAGGATCTACACTACCTACTTTAGTATTGTCAACTAGGAAAATTTCAACTGTAGCAGGCATTTCTCCTTTTACCAGTGGCCTAGAAGTAGTTTACAGGTCAAAGCCCTTTGCACTAGCAGTGAAGCATCTTTGAAGCTGAAGGGCTTACCATCTCCATGGTGCAGATCCAAATCCACATACAGAATACGGTCAAATTTCCGTCGCAATCGTAATATTCCCAGGACAGCATCATTGAGATAACAAAAACCAGATGCTTCATCTCTGCAAGAAAACAAGTTGCTACAGCCAGCAGCCACAAAGCAATCCAAGAGAATCCTAACAGCCAAGGATCTAACCCTGGCGATCTAGCCCCTTAAAGTACCCCCTCCTTTTAAGAAAAACAAACAAACAAAAACCTACCTATAAGGTTTACATAGTAGAAATGCCCCAAATTATTAGGGATTAAAATGTTTTGGGAAAGTAAATATTTGGATTGATTGGTAACATTTTCCACTTGGGATTTCAGATTTTCAAAGCATTAGAATATTACAACTGTAATCAACAAGACAGTTCCTTCCTTAGATGATTTAGGAATTACTTGGAAAAATCTATGAGTACCCTGAGTTCCTCATGATAAACACTAATTTCCACTTATAGAACTCTAAGAAAGCTAGTATCTAGAAAGGACCTTAAAGACAATTTTATAGAAGATAATGACATTGGAGACTCTGTACTAACTCTATGATATAACCTGGAACTTAAAAAAAAATTCTTGGCACTTGTTGCTTATAATGGCTGAGTGTAGAATATACCAAATGCACAATCTCTTGGGCAGCATAATGTTGTCTTTCTGTAAATGTAATTATCACAATGAAGAGTGAAGCAGGCTTTCTAAAGTTATTTTGTTTCTTTGACAAAAACTATCTACGTTGACCTTACTAGTGTTCTTTCATTTTGTTGCTATTGGTGCTATTATATCAATTTATCTTCCTGCCAACTTTACCTGCTCTTTTATTACATTTCCATTAAGCCTTACTGATTAGATGTAAAAGAACATTCTTTAGCCAGGCATGGTGGCACATACCTGTGATCCTAGTACTCTGGGTGGCTGAGGAAGGAAGGAGGATTGAAAGTTTGAGCTCAGCTGAGCAATTGAGAGGCTTAGCAAGACCCTATTTCAGATTAAAAATTATAATAGGTCTGAGCATGTAGCTCAGTGCAAAGGTCCTGTGTTTGACCTCCAGCACCACAAACAAACACAAAACAAAACAAAAACATTATCATCCAGAGTACATTGCTGGATGTGGTCATGCATCCCTGTAATTCCAGCTACCAGGAAGCTGAAGCAGGAGGACTGGAAGTTGGTGGCCAGCCTGGAAAACAGCAAGACCCTACTTCAAAATCTAAAAGATATTTTTTGAAAAGGGATGGAGATATAGCTCAGTGTTCCTTTAGTTAAATCTCTAGTACAAATGCCTCCCCCTGCACAGTATTACAATTTCCTTTTTAAGGCTTTGTCCTAAATGCTTCAGTTTTCTTTTGCTTCCACAGACACTTCAAATATCCAGCTCAGTTTTTCTAAGTCCTTCCTAAGATTTTACTTAAAACAGAATTCTAGGCATGATGCTTAAAATGACATGTTTGCAACTATGAGAAATCTTTCTAGTGTCTACACAATTCATAAACTTCTCTATCAAATGCCTTCATAATGACATTTCACATTCTAAACAATGCCAGTTCACTGGCTGAATCAATGAAACTGGTACAATGGAGAGCAGGAAGTTGGTAAAAAGTATCACTAAACAACTGACCCTTCAGTAAGGTAAATTCTGCAGCCATATGGCAAAGACTCAGCCTTATATATGCAACTGGGAAGAAAACAAGTAAAGAACTTATCTATGCATGAATTCTCTTCAAAGAAGAATGAAATATGTGACATTGAAAGTTCTTGGATGCAAATGCTATTTTCCAATTGTGAAAAGTCTACTATCATAGTACATCAAAAAAGACATAATCTGTTCTACTGAACATCAGTGGCTTTTGAGGGCATGGAACACTAAGTGCTAAGCAAAAAGAAAAAGGAGAAGGAGGAACACAAATTAGCACAGTACATACTTCCTTCTTGTACAGAACCTGCAGTTAAGTTATGGGGACAGAAAACAAAAACAAAAACCAACCATAGGGACCAAAAGGCAATCAGATATAATACGGCATGTAAAGAGTATACAGAGGGAGTACACAGACAAAGTAGGCAAAGTATATTCACTGTCGGTATTGTCAGTAACCACAAATAAGAAAATATTTGGTGAAATATTGTCATTGCCAAAATTGAACTTAATCTCAGTCCTATGCTTCTGGAAAGCAGTGATGGTTAAGAAGCCTCCCACTCCTTCGTGTTCTGAGCGCTAACCACAAGGCAATGACCACATTGTCCTGGCATGGTCCAAGAGAGGAGCCATTCCCATCCTTCCTTATGTTTCCTATGATTTGTGGATAACTCCCAGGTTTACTCTTTTCTATCAAACTCCAGACCCTTTCAAGATACTCTTCATTAATAAACATTTTTATAGCAATAACCAGAATGATGATGATGATGATGATGATGGTATGTATAATTCAGAAAGTCCTTTACATCTCTTTGTATGAATGTGTAATATTTTCCTACCTCTGAATAGTATTACCAAATTATTTATAAAATCTTTTAAGAGATCTCTTTCTCATTGGCTTATAAAAAGAAGCATATTTGGCAAATAGAACATTGCCAAAATTCCTAAAAATAAGAATATTGCATCTTCAAGATTTTCAAAGTACTAAAAATGTATTCCTATAAAAGTAAAGTCAAATGTTTTATTAAAAATTCAGGTTCACATCACTTTGGTACATTTTTAGCATATAAGACTATTTTAGTGATTTTGGTTTACTAAAACCATCTATATTGTTCTGACTTATTGGGGCTGGGGAGGTAGCTCAGTAGAATAAGCGCTTGCCTGGCAAGCACAAGGACCTGAGTTCAATCTCCAGTTCTGCCAAAAATAAAAAACCAAAATGTTCTGACTTATTAATGTTTGGTAGAATATGCAGGTAGATTTTTATTCTACTTAGGTGTATACTTCTTGAATGTATACAGGTTTATTGGTTGAATGAGCTAACATTATTTGTACTAAATGTTTAACATGAAAAATGTAAATTTGTTCAAGCACACTGAGTCATTGTGATGGCAATCTTTAGCTGAACAATAATTATTACTACATTTTAGGGAATACTGAAGATTGAACCCAGGGCCTTTGCACTGATGCTCTGAGTTATAGCTCTAGCCCTTTCCATATTTTTAAATTCTGCAACAGATTCTCACAAAGTTGATAATCTTCCCAGGCTGGGCTTGAATTTCACATCCTCCTGCCTCAGCATCCCAGAGTAGTGGGATTATAACCCCCTCAACTTCCACTGAGGATTGAACTCAGAACCTCAGGAAAGAGCTGTACAACTGAACTACAATCTTATGTCTTTTCTATGATTTGATTTTATTATGCTCTTGATTACTTAAAAAAACTAAGTGTTCTCAGAAAAGAGTTAAGGTCCTTTACAATCATTTTACATGCTATGTTTATCTTTAAAAGACAATATTGATTTTCAATAACCTATTATCCTATTTTAAGTCCCAGTGACCTTATGAAAAAATTACAAAGGATTTGTTCACTCTTTAAAAAAATAATTCTAATGATCATTAGATTTGATACATTACTATTGAGGAATTACACAGGTATAACTGTAAAATCAGAAGACTTTTCTACCCTCCCTAGGTTAAACTGTTATGGAAGTAATGTATTTCAGAAATTGTATGCTGCTTGGAGAAGTTCCTATAGATTCATGAATGTCCTAGCTGGCTGCGGTGTGCTTCTGTTAGTCAGAATAAAGGTGCTACTTTGTCAAATATTAGACCACTATAGTACAATATTTGTTTCTTCTATTTGGGGGACACATTCCAAGACCCCAAGTGGAGGTATCACTAAACAGCCAACCATGCAGCTAGGACCAAAGCCCAGATATACTGTACTTTTCCTATACGTACATATCTATGGTAAAGTCTAATTTGTAAGTTAGGCACCAGAGATTAAGGATAATAATCAATAATAAATAAACTATAAAAACTGTAATAAAAGCATATGAAGATGATCTCATTTTTCTCCCTCTCTCAAAAATATTTTATTGTAGTGTACTGACTATGGTTCACCGTGGGTAGCTGAAATTGGGAAGGTGAAACCACAGATGGCAGGCTACTATATAGTGTTTTCCATCATAATTTAAATTTCTTTTCTTTGTTTTTTTGAGACAGGTTCTCATTATGTAGTTTAGGTTCACCTTCAACTCACTATATAGCTCAGGCTGGCCTCAAACTCAGAGGAATCCTCCTGCCTCAGTCTCCCAAGTGCTAGGATCACACATGTGTGCCACCAACTCAGCTCTAATTTCTTAAAAAATGTTTACTTTATATCAACCTTAAATCTCTGGGTTTTTTTAAAATAATTAGTACATTTTTAGTACATGATGTTTACATTTCTTTTGGGAACTGCTCATGTACATAAAACATCTTAATCCTTCTTATCATCCTTTTTCTCTTTCTTCCTATCCATCTCTTGATCATCTTCCTTTTTTTCTGGTACACGTTTCCAATACACAGTTATAACAGTCAGTGCTTACTAGAGAAACAGATTTAATGCAAGATATATAAATATATAAGAATTTACAAGATTGGCTTACAATGGCCCCCTCCAGTGTCAGGTGAGGAAAAGTGCAAAAGGGCTGTCTGCATACCGGAGATGTGCAGGATCCTGCTGAAGGCCTGGAGCTCGCTATAGTCTGTATCAGAAGGCCGAAGGGTATGTAGTGGAAGGCTGAAGACAATGCTTAAGATGAAGGCAAAGATGGAAGCTCCTCCAAAGAAACAGAGGCAAGCCTTTCTTCTTAATTTCCCTTGTATACCACTCTGGTGACAGCCAGCCCTATGGTGGGTCTTCCACGCCCTGAACTATGCTGAGTCAGTTCAGTTGGATATTTTTTATTGAAGCTGACACAATCAGTTACCTACCACAGTAAGGCTTACTTTCCTTCTGAGCACTTAGTAAATGTGTGTAATACATCGTGATTCCTTTTTAAAATCTCCTTTCTCTTCTTCTCCTTTCCCCAATTTCTTCTCCTTTGAGAAAGATCTACCTCCCCACTTCTTATTACCCACCTTTCATTTTACTCTTCATTTTTATTTTGACTTCTCAAATAAGAGAAAC